CTCATTTGTACATCATTCTAGACAGAAATAAATGACCTTTTTAGAAAGTGAACCATGGATGGGGAAATGTTGGCAGTTTTCTCAAAAAATGCTTGTTTGAGTTGCAAAATCCACTTGAACATGACGCTGCTTTTTTCGAAGTTTCTCAAGAACCATTCGAGCCAGAGAAATCGTTTTGGCATCGTTGGATAGAGAAATAGTTGAATGGGGGTTCTTGACCCCCATGACCCCCCTCTGGTCCGCCCTTGCCTGATGAACTGATGTTCTGAAGTGAAGTTGAGCAGTTTCGGGGCGAAACTCATGTAATATACAGGGTGTCCCATTTTGGACACTTATCAAACTTCCCTTCATTATTTGTTCATTGCTTGGGGAATTCAATTGAAAATCTGTGCTTCGCTGACAAATGAACATCCCCAACTTAAGTTGGATTAATTCAAAATGTATCCCGGAGCAATTGGAACTTAGTGCGCCACTGGACGATAAATCTTTGGTCACTTTTATGGACAGCGCGCCCTGATCTATTAATGTTTGATCGGCGGCAATAGTCGATCGTTAAATGCCGCTCGCACCCTTTTACGGGCTGTTGCCCTGAAGGGCGGCAGCAAAAGCATCAGTTGTGTGCTGATCTAAGGGCCCAAGCCTGGACAAAAACAGCCCTTGCGTTCGCTAATAGATGTTATTCCAAGCAGAGGCCAAAGCTCAACTAGTTGGACAGCAAACACTTGGGGTTTTTGAATAATTTATTTGCTCCCCCGCTATTTACCTTTTGTTTTGATTTGCGGAATATATTTGAAATTCTAAACAAAGCACACAAGAGAACCGATGACTTTTCCTTATCGATAAATATTCATCTATCAAGCTCAGATGTCTCAAACTTTCGTAAAAACTGATTTCAAGGACTAATTCGATAGCGAGGATTTAATTTAGTGAGCAAAATTCATATTTTTCGACTGAAAAAAATCTGAAAGTTGCATTTTAAGTTGTGTATAAAGCAGCACTTTTTTATGATAAATAACTTCTAACTAAAAAAAATTCCCGTTTGGTGCGAACTTAAGAGAATCTCGATTAGAGGCGATAAGAATTGGTTCTGACCTGCATTTGCAATATTTTGAAAAATGAAAATTAGGTACGACTTGAATGAAATTTCGTGTAATTTTTGGCATATCTATGATCTACCGAATGTAGAATTTTCAGTTGATCGCCATTAGAAGTGACATTTTTTTAAATATATCATGTTATTGACCAAAAACTCATTTTTGACCTGTATTTGCAATACTCGCAAAAATTAGGATTAATTACAACTTGAATGAAATTTGGCCCGTTTTCGAATGTATCTATTATCTATCGATTGCAAAAATTTCAATAAAAAATTGTTCTCTACTAGAAGTCACGAATTTTTAAAATACACGATGTAATTGACCGAAAACGCATATTTTGACCTGAATTTACAATATTAACCAAAAATTAGGAATAGTTGCAACTTGAATGAAATTTTGCACATTTGTGAACATGTTCATTATCTACAGACTGAAAATATTCTCAAAAAAAATTTGTTCTCCATTGAAAGTTACGAATTCTTAAAACATATATACGATGTTATTGACTAAAAACACTCATTTTTGTCTCATTTGCAATGTACCTACGCAAACATTGCGATTAGTTGCAACTAGAATTAAATTGCGCAAATTTTTGAAGATGTTCATTATCTACCGAACGAAAAAATTCCTAAAAAAAATTTGTTCTCGATTAGAACTTACCAATTTTTAAAATATACGATATAATTGACCGAAAACGCTCATTTTTGACCTGAATTTTCAATATTCACCAAAAATTAGGATTAGTTGCAACTTGAATGAAATTTCGCACATTTTTGAACATGTTCATTATCCGAATGCAAAAATTCATAAAGCAAATTTGATCTTGATTAGAAGTAACCAATTTTTAAAATAGACGATGTAATTGACCGAAAACGCTCATTTTTGACCTGAATTTTCAATATTCGACAAAAATTAGGATTAGTTGCAACTTCAATCAAATTTCGCACATTTTCGAACATGTTCATTACCTACAGAATGCGAAAATTCGTAAAGCAAATTTGTTCTCGATTAGAAGTTACGAATTTTTAAACTATACGATGTAATTGACTAAAACTTCTTATATTTGACCTGCATTTGCAATGACCGCAAAAATTGGCATTAGTTGCAACTTGAATGAAATTTCGCACATTTTCGAACATGTTCATTATCTACAGAATGCGAAAATTCATAAAGCAAATTTGTTCTCGATTAGAAGTTACGAATTTTTAAAATATACGATGTAGTTGACTAAAACTTCTCATATTTGACCTGCACTTGCAATGATCGCAAAAATTGGCTTTAGTTGCAACTTGAATGAAATTTCGCACATTTTCGAACATGTTCATTATCTACAGAATGCGAAAATTCGTAAAGCAAATTTGTTCTCGATTAGAAGTTACGAATTTTTAAAATATACGATGTAGTTGACTAAAACTTCTCATATTTGACCTGCATTTGCAATGATCGCAAAAATTGGCTTTAGTTGCAACTTGAATGAAATTTCGCAAATTTTTGAACGCATCTATTATCTATCGAATTAAAAAATTTCAAAAAGAAATTTGTTCTCTATTTGAAGCTACGAATTTTTAAAATATACGATGTAATTGACCGAAAACGCTCATTTTTTACCTAAAGTTACAATATTTACCAAAAAAATAGGATTAGGTGCAACTTGAATAACATTTCGCACATTTTTGAACATGTTCATTATTTACCGAATGCAAAAATTCCTAAAGCAAATTTGATCTCGATTAGAAGTTACCAATTTTTAACAAAGGCGATGTAATTGACCGCACACGCTCATTTTTGACCTGAATTTTCAATACTCGACAAAAATTAGGATTAGTTGCAACTTGAATGAAATTTCGCACATTTTCGAACATGTTAATTATCTACAGAATGCTAAAATTCGTAAAGCAAATTTCTTCTCGATTAGAAGTTACGAATTTTTAAAATATACGATGTGGTTGACTAAAAATTCTCATATTTGACCTGCATTTGCAATGATCGCAAAAATTGGCATGAGTTGCAACTTGAATGAAATTTCGCAAATTTTTTAACGCATCTATTATCTATCGAATTGAAAAATTTCAAAAAGAAATTTGTTCTCTATTTGAAGTTACGAATTTTTAAAAGATACGATGTAATTGACCGAAAACGCTCATTTTTAACCTAAAGTTACAACATTTACCAAAAAAATAGGATTAATTGCAACTTGAATTAAATTCGCACATTTTTGAACATATTCATTATCTACCGAATGCAAAAATTTCAGAAAGAAATTTATTCTCGGTTAGAAGTTACGACTTTTTAAAATATACGATGTAATTGACTAAAAACACGAATTTTGGACTAATTTTCAGTTAGATTTAGTGGGAAAAATGTAGGTATAAAAGGAGTTTTTAATCTAGTCTCAAACCCGCTTTCAAACATACGTATTCCGTGGTAGAGACAGTTTAATGGCGCTAATTGCTGCAAAAGTTTAACTTTGTAATCGATCTACTTACTCAGAAACTTGCGCTTTAAAAAATTGATAATTTAGTATTTTGCAAAAGGTTGTTGAAAGAGCTTCAATATTGCATAATAATATATGGGGGTGTTCCATAAAAAATTAATTTAGTAATTAATAGATCGCATTAAAAGTTATTCCAAAATTACACACCAGTTAGCCACAATCGTCCTCCCCGTCTTGGTTGCACCACCCTGCATGTTCAAAACACCAGACACTTTTTAACTCATTTATTAACTCAAAAGGGCAAAAACGTTGACTGTTTTTTTTCTAATAAGTACCTACATAAACTACTAAAATCGTACATTTTTCATAACAATACTGCACATTTCTAGACTTTCTTTACAGCTTGTGGCCTTAAAAACAACGATCTACTTACATACAATATAATAATAGCGAATTAAATAATTTTCGTCAGTGCCAATAGTCTAGGTTTACCTAAGTATGTACAAAATATGTACAAACTGCACATCGAATGCTTATTAATCGATTAATTAATAAGGGGGTTGCAACCGGACTCAATGTGAGCCACCACAGAGGATTAAGGCTGGGTTCACACTTACGCAATTGGTTGCAGCTCCTGGGGAATTGCATTTAATTGTTAGTTCAAACGAGGCATTTTTGTATTTTTGCACAAACAACTCTCGAGTTGCAGCAACAAATTGAGTAGTTGTGAACTTAGCTTTAGATGTACATCAGGGGCTATGAGGAGGCCATGAGTTTGGCAGCTGCTGTCACATGATGTTGGTGATGGTACGCCATCTCGTTGCCTGAGGAAGGACTAGGAAACCCGAACAGCTGCTGATAGGGGTAGGTCGGCTGGTTCTGAAGACAACTGGAATGGACTTGGGTGAAGACACGCTTTAGGGGTTGAAAACGGATTCCTCACCTGTACTCATACCCCGGCTCGCTTTTGATTGAGCTGGTGCTGGTAGAGGGCAGCAGCGACGTCTGCCCCAAATAGGGCCGCTCGCCCCCAAAGGGCGACTTCTCATGCGGGTTGGGGGGATTGTTGGATTGCGCAGCGCAACTTTGCTGGTGGTTGGGCGACTGATGTTGCACCGCATTCGTCGCCTTTGCCTCCACTGCTGCAAGCAAACGAGCATCAATCAATGCCCAATCCCCACTATCAGGGTAGGCGCGCCTACCTTCGGCTGGGGCGGAGTTACTGTCCTCCCTCTCCACGCCGTTCTGCGCGCCGTTCGCCGCCTTCTTTGGTTTGCGTTTGCGTGTCTGAATGCCGTCTTTGCGCATGGCGAGCGGCCGGTTCACCCCGTGCAGCTTAAAGTAGAGGCCACACGCATTGCAAACCGGCTCGCCGTCGTTGTTGCGGCGCCACAACGTCGTCGTTCTCGTACCACAGTTCGTGCAGCAGAGCCCTAAGCGGCGGGTGGCCGTCTATGCAACAAACCTTTTGATTAGCCACATTTTTTTACGGCTGATTTCTCGACTTGCAAACTGGTTTTTGGCCAAATTTGTGCAAAAAACTACTTTTTACGTATCGGAACGTGATACGCAGGGAGATTCAAAATTGGC